CCTATATATCTGTAAACGATAAGGGGATAAAGTGCTTTGAGCGTAAATGAGAAAGGGGTAAAAGTGAAATTTACCCAAATTGATACAAGTAACCAATCCATACAATTCTCCAAGAATTCCACTGCTTGGCCCCTAGTTCAACTACAGTAATTAATTATATATGTAAGTAAAACAATTACTTAAAGTTACCAAAGTATCTAGGCAAAAGAAACATCTCATGCTTAGTGTGATATTGTCCCTTCTTGAATTTTATTGGACAAATTGCTTCCATAGTTCATCTATCTATCGATCTATTGATCTATATATACTATTATTAAGTGAAGGTTGGATTTGGTGTTCAAGCCTTCACGTAATGTCACGTGACAACTTTATCTAGTCTGAAATAAAAATTATTATTCAAAAGTATGAGTAAGGTTTAAACCCAAGACCTTGGATTTCTTTATGAACATTTTTATTACTTAGATAACATACATATTATGATATTAATTTTGTTATTGTTTGTTTTTGTTCTTACTTATCTAAATTGCACAAGCATTATGTGTGCCACCCGCTGGTATATTTTACATCTTGTGTTATTTTGGTTTCTAGACTTTTAATTGGCTTAATTTTGACCATTAACTTTAGATTTTGTGTCAATTTAGTCTAATTGATAACACTGTTAAGATTTTTTTATGGAGAATAATCACTGAGTTAGTTGAGATTAACTTACTAAGTTAAGTAAGTTTGTAATATTTCCTATTTATAATCGATTAGACAAAATTGAGGCAACATTATAAATTTGGAATTAAAATTGAGCCAATTAAAATGATACAAGGACTAAAACATAGAATGTACTGGCGTAATTTTTCATATTTATTGTATATCTTTGATAATTCCTTTATACCCATTGGTGAATTTCCCTTTCATTTGTTTTAGTTAGAATAGTTCTATTCAAAAAGAAAAAAAACCTTTATTTACAAATTTATATGACACCTTTTGTTTCGTATTTCAAAGTATTATCAGTATCACATCAATTTGTTAGAAATGAAGATTGTAATTTTTTTCTTCTTATTTGTATAGCATTTTTCTTTTAGTTGACCTACTATTCTATTTTCTTGCTGACACTTGTGAAACAAGAGTGCATAGGGTGCATTAAGTGTTGGGGGGGGAGGGGAATTCATAATTCACTAGCATGTTTGGCCTTTCCAATTTGTAACTTTTCTTCTTAATGCACTCATGCTTCATCATATATTACACTTACTATCTATACTACAAAACTGTTTTTTGAGCTCACCAAAAATAAATGTTAACAAATACTTTAGCTTACCTAAAAGAGGGAAAACTTATCAGTGGCCTTGGCTCATTGTAAAGTGCATTCTTATTCCCAATTGATACACTTAAACTACGCAATCAGAAATCGCAATGTATGGATAAAGAAAATTATTATATAAAAAAGTGTCTAGAATGCAGTGTCACACTGTTGTAGTCATCCTAGTGGAGTGCTCTATTGGAAGATGACCATTTTTTAACACCTACATCTCTTGTAGTCTACATTTTCCCTCTCTCCGTATCTCTCTCTCTCTCAAAATCTTTCTTAGGGTTAAGAAGGCTCATATTGGAAACATGGAGCAAGGTGGTTGGAACCCAGTGATCCACAGGAGAAGGTTGGGATGGCAGAGAGGATTTCGAAAGGAGGTAGGGCTGGTCACCATTTTTGTGGATAATATTCCAGATTCTGTGGACCCTTAGGGGTTGTTCAATCTCTTTAGCAAGTTTGGCATAGTCAAGAATGTGTTTATTCCAGGGAAGCGAAGGCAAGCAACAAGATCTAGATTCGGATTTGTGAGATATGATTATGAAGTGGCTGCAGCTATGGCAATTTAGAAGGCAAATGGTCTGTGGTGCGATAACAAGGCATTGCTGGTGAAAAGAGCTGAGTACCAAAAATTTCACAGATCTGGCCCTATGGAGCATAAAGGGCTACGAAGAGGTGAGGATGGGAAGAGAACAAATCAGAGGTATTATTTGCAGCAGAGCCAGAGCCACGGAGATAAGAAGTCATATGCAGAGGCATTAGTGAAGAGTGGATCTAGTGCTAGTGAGAAAGTGGTGATTAAGGCTTACGAGGAAGGTAATGGATGGCGATATGAAAGCTTAGTTGTGAGACTGAGCAGTTTTTTAGCTATTAAGGACTTTCAAGCCGAGCTATGTAGAAGGGGGCTGAAGGATGTGATTGTTAGGGAGTATGAAGGTAGAATAGTGCTGCTATCTTTCAGCTCAGCCCAACATATGAAGGAAGGGAAGGTGCAGCTCCAAAACTGGGGTCAGAAGTGGTGTGACTCAATTGAAGAAGGGGAGGATGGCCAGTTTGTAGAGCAAGAGAGATGTGTATGGTTATATTGTTTCGGTATTCCAATCAATTTATGGAGTGTAACAACTTTTCGAAGCATAGCAAGTCACTAGGGGTTGGCAGTTCAATTTGAGGATGATATTAATGACCCTCAAACCTTTCAGCAATGTAGAGTTCTAATTCTCACTAGGAACATGGAGATGATTAATTCCACTGTGTATTTGGAGTGCAGAGGTAAGATCATTCCAATAAGAGTCTGCGAGGAGTTTCCAAGGTGTTTATGTCCTAGCTCCCGCACCAGCGATGGTAAGGATTTCAGTCATATTCAATCTAGAGACAAAGAAGAGGTGGATCAGCTTTCTGGCAATAGAGGTTTTCGAAGGTGTGTGCAGCAAGCTACTTCAGCAAGAGAAGAGGAGATGGAAGGAGGCTTTGATGGAGTTAGTAGGGTTTTGGGGATAGGGCTAGTCAGATTAGAGGAGCTAGGACGGGGTAATGATGGGAAGCATGCACCAGCTGGAGTTACTATACGGGGTTGCATGGGGAATGGCATTATAGATGCATGTCCCAAGGAGGATGGCCCATTTCAGGTAGTCAACTTACAAAAGACAATGATGAATGAAATTCAAACTCTAAATAAGGATGTAGGCAGTTCAGGGCTTTTAAAGGAGTTGAGTAGTACAAAGGGTGAAAGACCCAATCTCAACCTGGAAGTTCTACTCGAAGGGGTGCAGGTTGAGCCCAGTGGATTAATTAATAGGGTGGGCCTGAACTTGGGCGACAATATAGCCCAGTCTACACTCAAGCCCAATCTGTTACGAACTATCCATAAGAATCTGGGGAGGAAGGCTAATATAAGCAGTAGAGGTAAGGAAATTGCAATTCAAAAAGTCCACCAAACCTGGAAAAAAGGCTCTGGTTCAAAGAAAATTCGTAGGTTAGTAGGAGGTTGTAGCAAACAAAAAGGTGTAGTTGGCAGCCTTGGATTCCAAAGATGAGCCATTTTTAGAGTTGCTACAGCAGCAGTAGCTTCCTCCTTGTCATCTTCTCAGAGTCAATCAAGAAGTAGAAGAAGAAATCTACTAGAAGAAGCACAAACAACTCTGAAGGTGGGAACAATTTTGGGTCTGCAGTTTCATAGAAAAGAAGAAGAGGTAGTGAGTAAGATAGTGGAACTAGAAGAGAATGATTTAGCAAGGATTGCAGATGCAGAGGGGGCAAGCAGACCTTAAATGCTTGTCATCAGGGGTACTAAAGTTTTATTTCAGTTTATTTATGAAGATTTTTATCTTGGAATGTCCATGGGCTAAGGAGACCAGAAAAAAAGGGGAAAGATAAAGCATCTGGTGAAGGGTAGGAGTGTGGATGTCTTATTATTACAAGAAACGAAAAGAAGTTCTATGGATGAAGGCTTTGTGAGGTCTATCTGGCCTAATGAAGAGATGGATTTCTTGGGGGTAGATTCAGAAGGCAGTGCAGGTGGACTCCTGTGCATATGGAAGCCAAATGTTTTCAAGCTTGAAGATTGTTGTTGCAGCAGGGAATTTCATTCTACTGTCAGGTTCCTCTTACTTTCCTTTTGAATGTGTCGTTGTCAATATTTATGCACCTAATGAGGTTCTGAAAAGGAGTCAGTTGTGCAAAGCTCTGGTCACTGTTTATCATCACTATCCTAACCCTTGGTGAGGATTTCAATGAAATTAGGCTCATGTGTGATAGGAAATGATGCTCAAGAAGAGAGAGGGGTATGAAGGATTTTAATGAGTTTATTGATAAGTTGGGGTTGTCTGATTTTCCTATGCTAGGTAGGCAGTTTACCTGGTGTAATGCAGTGGATGGGGATAGATGGAATAGGATAGATAGATTTTTGTTGGATTCAAGATGGCTGGCAAAATTTTCTTTCAAACTATAGGGTTTACCTAGAACTATTTTTGATCACTGCCCAATTTTATTGAAAAAAGATGAAAGGGATTAGGGATCTAAACCTTTTAAGTTCTTAAATCCTTGGCTTTCACACCCTACCTTCATATCTGAAGTTAAACTCGTTTGGGAAAATACACAAGTATCAAGACGGGCATGGTATAGACTATGGAGAAAATTAAAAGTCTTAAGAACTCATCTAAGGGTGTGGAGCAAGGAGGTGTTTGGAAATATTGATTCTCTTCTAAAATCAGCTGAAGAGGACATGCATGAGTGGGATTTGAAAGCAGAATATGGGCCTCTAAATGATGTGAAACTTAAAAGGAGAAGGGAAGCTACAAATCTGGTGTGGAAAATAAGTAGAGATAAGGAGAGGTTGTGGCATCAAAAGTCCAGAATGCTTTGGGCTTGTAATAGGGATAAAAACACTAGATTCTTCCATATCATGGCTAGTAGAAGGCAGAGAAAAAATATGTTAGATTCAGTCCTTATGGAGGGGGTGAGCCTTAAAAAACCTAATCAGGTTAAACAAATTGTGGTTAGTCATTTTAGACAGCAATTCTCAGAGAATTGGACTGTTAGGCCTATGATTTCAGGTCCCTTTAAAGTCATTAGCTCGAAGGTAGCAGTGAATCTGGAAGGAATGTTTACTGAAGATGAAATTTGGTCAGCTTTTCAAGATTGCGATGGGAACAAAGCCCCTGGACCGGATGGTTTTAATCTTGCCAGTATCAAGAAGTGTTGAACAGTCATGAAAGGTGAGATAGTACAAATGATTCATGAATTCTATGCAAATGCAAAACTATCCAGTGGGGTAAATAGCTCCTTCATTATGCTGGTACCCAAGAAGGATAATCCTATAGGCTTGGGTGATTATAGGCCAATTAGCTTGGTTAGCTCCATCTGTAAGATCTTGGCCAAGGTATTATCTAGAAGGTTGAAGCAGGTGCTTCCAGAGGTGATCAGTGAGGTGCAATCAGCATTTGTCTGTGGTAGGCACATCCTAGATGGTGTGTTGATAGCTAATGAAGTTATACATGAGTGGCACAGCGCTAAGAAGAAAGGTATAATTTTGAAATTGGATTTTGAGAAAGCCTATGATTCATTAAATTGGGAGTTTTTGCTATCAATGTTGGATAAGTTTGGTTTTGGGGCAAGATGGGTTAGGTGGATGAAGTCTTATATTACTACAACTAAGGTGTCTATTTTGGTTAATAGTGCTCCAACTGAAAAGTTTCAACCACAAAAGGGGTTAAGGTAGGGGGACCCCTTATCTCCTTTTTTGTTTATTATTGCAGCTGAAGGTCTAAATCTGTTATTGAAGAGGGCCATAGAGGTGGGTCTGATTAAAGGTGCCACTATAGGCTTGGATCACTTGGGAATTTCTCATCTTCAATTCGCAGATGACACTATCATTTTTTGTAAAGGGGCTAAGGAGGAAGTTCTGAATATCAAGAGAGTTTTGAGGTGCTTTGAGGTGATGTCTGGATTAAAGATCAACTTCCACAAAAGCTTTGTCTATGGGGGTTGGGTATAATGAAGACCAAACCAAAGACTTGGCTAAGGATTTGAATTGTTTGTCAAAGAAGTTGCCTTTTAATTTTTGAGGCTTACCTGTAGGGGCTAATCCCAAAAGGAAGAGTACATGGCTACCAGTTGTGGTCAAGGTCAATAAGAAGCTCTCTTATTGTAGGAGAAAGTTGTTGTCTTTTGTTGGAAGATTGCCACTAATCAAATCAGCCTTGGCTAATCTACTAATCTATTTTCTTTTTATTCTTAAGATGCCAAAGGGGATTATTAAGATTATAACTAAGCTGCAGTCCAACTTTCTGTGCGGAGGGAATGAAATTAATAGGAAAGTGCATCTGGTCAAATGGAAGGAGGTCACAAAAAGCAAGAGCCAAGGTGGTTTGGCTGTGAGGAACTTAGGTGAGGTTAATGCATGTTTGTTACTAAAGTGGTAGTGGAGGTTTTGTAGTGAGGATAAGGCTCTTTGGAAATCAGTGGTGTGTTCTAAGTATGGCAGAATGGGTGGGGCTTGGATCCATTCAGTGAATCAGTTAGCAGGGGCTTCCATGGTTTGGAAGGACATTACACAGATAACTGAGAATAATCAGCAACTGGGTGAGTTTTTTGGAGGCCAAATAAAAATCATTGTTGGTAAGGGGAAGAGAATTTGGTTCTGGCATGATACTTGGTTGAGTTGTAGAGGCTTGAAAACTAAATTTCCTAGATTCTTCAGCCTATCCACAGAGAAGGAGGAGACTCTTCACCAAACCAGTATGAAGAAAAGTCTATCAGGGGGGTGGCAGCTCCAATTTAGAAGGAATTTATTAGCTTGGGAAGAGGAGGAGCTACAGAGGCTGTGTGGTCTGCTGGTGGTATCTCTAATCCTTAGAGTTGGGCTGGAGGACTCCTGTTCTTGGGCGGCAGAGAGGTCTGGGCTGTTCACAGTCTTATCTATGAGGAGATGGTGGGATACAGCTATAGGGCAAGGTGTGGCAGTACCACCAGGGGTGTAGGTGAACTTAGCTCCTCCAAAAATGCAGTTTTTTTGTTGGTTGGCTTGGCGAGGTAGGGTCAAAACTTCTATTTTCCTCCAAAGGATTGGGGTCCTTGATGTGAGTGTTAATAAATTATGTGTGTTCTGTCATACTGTGGAGGAGTCTGTTGATCATGTGCTCCTGTGCTGTCCTCTGGTTTGGAAGTGTTGGTCTTACATGGTATATTGGTGCGGTCAGGTCTGGGCTATACCTGGTTCTGTTGCAGGTTTGCTGCATTGGTGGTTTGGTGATAAGCTCAAGTCATGGATTGGTAAAGTCTGGCAGATTATCCCCTCTATCATTTTTTGGTTCGTTTGAAAGTTGCGAAATGAATGTTTGTTTAAGGGAGCTCATCCTGATATTCAAGTTTTATGCGAAAAGATTAAAGTGCAGATAGCTTTGTGGTCCAAATGGTTCTTGAAAGTAGATTATTCAGTGCACGACATTGTATCCAACCTCCACCAGATCAGGTTTGATGTCTGATTTCTGTTGTTGTTTCTTTGGCTTTTGGCCTTTCCCATGGTTAGTTTCTTGCCAACTGTTGGGGTGTTGGTTAGCTTCAGTTTTTGGGTCCTCTCTTGCTGTTCACTGAGTTGGATCAAGTTGCAATCTCTTAAAAAACTATGAAGGGGCAAATGAGTACGAATGGGATTGAAGGCTAGCAACTGGTGGTTCGAAAGCATGGTGGTCAAGCAAAGGGGGCTTTAAAGGGGAGTACCATTTATTCGGTGTTTGTGGACAATTTACCAACATCGATGGGGGCGAAAGGGCTTTTTCAACTCTTCTCAAATTTTGGTATGGTGCTGGATGCGTACATCTCGAACAAGAGGAGAAGATCTACAGGATCCAAATTTGGATTTATCTAGTATGGTTGCTCGGTAGCAGCGGATATGGCTCTGTAGAAAGCTAATGGACTTTGGTGTGATGACAAAGCACTGAAGGTTAAAATTGCTGAGTTCAGCAAGGTACATCATAAGAATCAAAGTATCCGACAACAAATACAACAGTGGAGGGAAAAGGGTGGACATCACACTGTAAGGGCTTCGTATCATGGGAGAAAGCTTATGCCGATGTGGTTAGAGGCAAGGGTCCTCAACCCAACTTAGTCCGTACTATTAAGGTGCAGAAATGTGCAAATGGCTGGTTATATGAAAGTGCTATGGTAAGATTGAAACCACATCTCTCGGTTGTAGAGTTTCAGGATGAACTTCAAAGAAGAGGCTATGAAGACATCATAGTTAGAGTTAGAGGTGGAAGGAAGATAGTTCTTTCATTTCAATCAGTGGGTGCTATGAGAGAGAAATTATCGCTAATAAAGGACTGGCTTACAAACTGGTGTGATTTGATTGAGGAATGTAATGAAAGCATGACTCTTGACCAGGTGAGGCATGTGTGGTTAAGCTGCTATGGTGTACCATTGGTCTTGTGAAATAATAATACATTTTGCACAATAGGTATAGAGTGAGGAGAGGTGCTTGAAATGCATGCAGACACAATGAATATGGAGTCTCTTTACTATGGAAAAGTCAAGATTGAGACAAGATGCATGGACTCCATAAATCATCTTCTCAATCTAGATTGCCAGGGTGTATTATATCTAGTTAGGATCTCAGAGGAACAAATCATAGTCCTAACAATAGTAAAAGAGCAATGTATCTGTCAATCTTTTCTGAGGAACAATAAAGCCAGCTACAGCTCCGAGGGTGATGTTGAGACTATTGCAGATAGAGACAGCAGACAAGGGGAAGAAGATGATAAGGTGGAAATCTAGGTCGATGCTGAGGTGGATGTAGGGGGTGAGGTGGATGCAGGGGATAAGATGGTGGATCATGACCATACTACTGCCATGGAGAGGAAAGCAAGCTTTAGAGAGGTTTCGGTGGTGAAGGAAACAGACCTAATGATAGGTGTGTCAGAGGCTGGCGCCACACACGAGGAGCTGCATGTGAGAAGGGCTCTGTAAGGAGGCTCTGCAAAGGGATGTCAGAGGAGGGTGGCACAAGAAAGGGAGGTAGATGTAGAGCTGATGATGAGGTGGTCACCCCTGGGTTTATTAGAAGTATGAGTGGGTCTGTTGGGCAGAAACAAGGCATTATCTTGGAGGTGGATTTAAATAGGGCCCAAGAGGACTTAAGTAGGGATGGGTTGGGCCAAAGGGCTGTGTTAACAGGTCTTAGCACTGAGGCCAGCACTCATCCTATAAGTGCAACTGTTAGTGGGGTGGGGCAGCCCAAAGATATACCCAGCAGAATGGGCTCAACCCTTATTAGTAAGAACAGTTTGCAGGTGAGTGGTGAGGAAAATGGTAGTCACAAACGACGGAAGAAGGGGAAACATGAAGTGGGGAAGAAATTTATGAAGCAAACACTCAATCTGAGGAAAGGGGCAGTGTTCAGGTCTGCCGTAGCTGCCATTTCCCATTGTGATGCTTTTGCACTTGCCTTTCTTTATTGATATATGTTGTTTTGTACTTTGTACTATGCTTTACATCAATGAAGTTTCTTTGTTTTGTCAATCAAAAAAAAAAAAAAGTTGCAATCTCTGTGCTGTTGTTAGCTCTGTAACTTCCCCTTTATTGATGTATCCGTATACTTTAATTATATGTTACATTTCATCAATAAAATTTTCTTTACTTACAAATAAAAAAAAAAAAAAAAAAAAAAAAAAAAAAAAAAAAAAAAAAGATGACCATTTTTTAACCACTGACTCATAGTCATGGCACATCCACCAAAATACAAAATGAGAAATTGCAACGTTATATATCTAGAAAATATCTCAAAAAAATGTGTAGAAATGTGGGATCATTGCATTCATCTTGGTGGAGTGCAGCTCCATGTTGAATGAAGTGCTTGTACACAACACTCTAGACATTGCACATCATTTTGTATATATATATTTTTTTTAATATAAATTTCTGTAAGAATATAATTATTCTTCCTAGAAATTTTTTGGGTATTTATTGTTTTTGTTTTTTCCCTCATTGCCTAATAAATATACAATATAGCTCCCCAAAAAATTCTATCAATTATAGCATTCTGATAAAAAGTGCTGTTTTTTCCATCCCAAAAACTATGAGGATAAAATAATAGACTTATAAATATGTTATCAAATTCAACTTCACCAAATCTCTTACTGTAAAAATAAAAGAGATAAATTCAGAACAAAAGACTGCTAATTAAACCTTTCATTTGCATCAAATGTATGCAATGAGTACAATCAAGACAGTTCACCTGGCAGTGGCACCACAAGTGACTAAAACAAACAAAACAACATTCAATCTTTAAAATTAAAAAAGTTGCTACACAAATTACAATCCTACTTGTCCTGCCACAACCTTTATTATTGTCTATATATTCCCTAATATATATATATATATAGCAGTCATGAGAGAGAAAAAGGACTACCAATATCATGTCAGATTTCTTCTTCTACCCGTAATAGCTACTGGTTGGTGGAATTGCTGCATCCTGTCTGTTCATAACCTCAATGAGCTTGTTGGCTATTGCACTAGCATACACTGAAGACCCTTCACATATCTGCAACATGAGAAAAAAACCAGCACAGCTTTATACTGTCAAAAACCCCTTCTTGTGGAGCATATGATTTGATGGTCTCAAGGCCATAAATGAATAGAGGCAAGGCGATTTTCAGAGTGTTTTATTTACTAAGAATCAGTTGAGCTGGACCTCAAGCCAAGTTCAAGTTGAATTGAAAATTGAGCTTAAACTCGGCTCATCAAATATTTGATAAACTTGGCTCAAGTTTTCTCGATTACATAAACGAGTCGTCCTTGGAGAAATTACACTTATGATTGTTTTAGGAATTGACTATTTTAGTTGATTTTTAATTTTTACAAAAAAAAGTGTGTAAAAAAATATAGAGAGAAGGGTTGAATTTTTTTTTTTTTTGACTTTTAAAGTATTTTAATAGGTTGCCAAAACAAACCTTAAATTAATTATAATACTACTAGGAAAAGAAGAAAACTAAGAACAAA